TTGCTTTTTCTGTGGCTCGTTTCTTTGCCAAAAATGGGACTCTTACAAACTATTACATGGTAAATCAGCATATTTACTAATTAATTAAGATGTGTGTTTTGATCTTTTTTACAGTAACTTTTTATTATAATATTTTCAGTACCATGGTGGAACAAACTTTGGAAGATCAAGTTCTTCTTTCGTGACTACTCGTTATTATGATGAGGCTCCTCTTGATGAATTTGGTAAATTATTCTATATGAACTAATTAATACTATCCAAGTACTTTGATTTAATAAATTAAATTAAATGTTGATGGATTGATTAGGTTTAATGAGGGACCCGAAATGGAGTCACTTGAGAGACTTGCACAGAGCTTTGAGATTATCAAGAAGGGCTCTTCTTTGGGGTACTCCCACAGTACAAAAGATAAACCAGGACCTTGAGGTATATACGTACGTAATTATTATTATAAATAACATTATGTGACTTGGATTATGGTGATGTGTAATTTGATACATACAGATCACTGTGTATGAGAACACTGCTGAGCATATGTGTGCTGCCTTTTTGACCAACAATCACACCACTCAACCTTCCAACGTTACATTTAGAGGAGCTGCTTATTACTTGCCTGAAAAATCAGTTAGCATTCTAGCTGATTGTAAGACTGTCGTTTACAACACTCAAACGGTAAACAAATCCACCTTAATTTTTGTTTTTCTTTCAACTGTTATAAGTATTGTATAACTAGAATGAAAGTAAACAGGTAGTCTCCCAACACAATTCAAGAAACTTTGTACCATCAGAAAAAGCAAAGAATCTTAAATGGGAAATGTATCAAGAAAAAGTACCAACTATCAGTGAATTGGCACTTAAGAATAGGGAACCATTGGAGCTCTACAGTTTAACTAAAGATAAATCAGACTACGCGTGGTATTCCACAAGGTACGTAATTTAATTATATTGTCAGTACATATATATAATTTAAACTCAAACTTGACTTTACTTTTTATATATAATATTCTTTTTTTAAAACACAGCATCAACCTTAATCGACATGACTTGCCCATGAGATCTGATATTCTCACTGTCTTGCAAGTTGCAAGTATGGGCCATGCATTGTCTGCGTTTGTCAATGGACAATATGTTGGTATGTTTTCTAATCATATCTCTTAATTAATTAGGGTGTGTTTGATGTTTTCCATCAACATGGGGATCAAATGACTTGCCTCATTTTTGTTTATAAATATCTGTAACTCTTAACTTGGTACTATTTTTTAGGATTTGGGCATGGGAACAATATTGATAAAAGCTTCGTTTTCCGGCAACCGGTCGTCTTGAAACCAGGAGTTAATGACATCACCCTTTTGGGTGAGCTAGTTGGATACCCGGTATTTCCTTCATTCTTAATTAAAGGTTTTTAAGTTTAATTTCATCGTTGAAAATGAGACTTGTTGATAAGAATCCCAAATCTAATAAAACAGAATAGTGGAGCTTATATGGAAAAGAGGTTTGCTGGACCCCGTGCTGTGACACTTCAAGGTTTAATGGCTGGAACTCTTGATATCACCCTAAATGTTTGGGGACACGAGGTATATATGCATATTTGACAATAGTACTTTGTATTCAAATGTTAATAAATTAAATCAACTAAAATTCCAAATCATTGTTTCAGGTTGGTGTATCTGGAGAAAAAGAACAAGTATTCACTGAAGAGGGTGCAAAGAAAGTAAAATGGACTCCCGTAACTGGTACTCCTCCAGGACCTGTTACTTGGTATAAGGTAATTAAGTTCAAATATATATAGGGGTAAGGTGTGTGTATGTACACACTATCCTTATCTCCAGACCCTATATATATATATATAGTCTATAGATAAAGTTCATTGATTATACCTATATATTTTTCTCGACTATTTTGGGATATTGTTACAGACATATTTCGATGCCCCTGAAGGCACTGATCCAGTGGCCTTGAAAATGGACCAAATGCAAAAAGGTATGCTGTGGGTTAATGGTAAGAGTCTCGGTCGTTACTGGGTTTCTTTCCTCTCTCCCCTTGGACAGCCCACACAATCTGAGTAAGTATTACGTACAATAAAAAAGCTCAATACCTAAAAAATTGAAAATTGAATACTACTACTTATTACTATATTGATTTGCAGGTATCATGTTCCAAGAGCATTTTTGAAGCCAAATAATAATCTGCTAGTTGTTTTCGAAGAAACAGGAGGTCATCCAGCAAAAATAGAAATTGTAACAGTGAATCGAGACACAATTTGCAGTATGATCACGGAATATCATCCTCCAAATGTTAAAAATTTTGAGAGTTCTGGCAGTAAATTCTGCCCGGTTGTTGAAGATCTTAAAGCAGGAGCTCATTTAACTTGCCCCGATGATAATGTGATCGAAAAAGTTGAATTTGCTAGTTATGGTGATCCAGATGGTGCATGTGGAAATTTCACTATGGGTACTTGCACTTCACAAAATAGTATTAAAGTTGCAGAAAAATATTGTTTGGGAAAGCACACTTGTACTATCCCAATTGAGAGAGTAACATTTGATGAACCAAACAAGGATCCATGCCCTAACATCTTTAAGACTTTAGCTGTCCAAGTCAAGTGTGTTGTACCAAACAAGAATTAATTAGTTATTGATGGGATGGGCCAGATCATATATAGGTTAGGCCATTGAATCCAGTATTATTGTGATTTAGAATTATTAGACTTGTATAAGTGATAAAAATTGTTATTTTAATTACTTCTTTCTTTTTGTATGATATAATTATCCATATTAACATATCATGGCAGATATTAAAAATTCACAGACAATCAAGTAAAGGATTTAGTGGTATGGATGGTCACTAAACTTATGGTAATTGGTCAGCAAAAATTACTTTCTTGAGCAAAAAATCCATAGCTAATTAAAAGAGGATATTTGCTACAAAAACACAAAGCATAAGTATATTTGTTAATTTTATGAAGATATGATAAACTATTGATACTCCACGTAATTGTAGAGTTTGAATTCAAGATGTAGACAAATCAACAACAAAAACATAATTAACCCTATATTATATGAAAAATAAGAGACTATAATTTTCTTTAGGGTCCACATTTAGCTCTAATTAAAGTCTTAACATTATCCCATAAACATCAGAAACCAATCAAATGTTATATCCTACTCTTCTCCAAAAAAAAAAAAAAAAAAAAATTAATACCAAAACTCCCAAAAGCAAAGTAACAACTGTTGCAGCTACGAATTTGTTTTCAACTTTCTCAAGTATCAATATCGATAAATTTATCCAAATACGGGCCTCAAATAGAAACTGCAAAATGAGAAAAATCATCAGAAGACGGAAAAAAGTTAAGAAAAACTCAATATATATATAGAAGAGAGATTAATGTAATACCCAGCCAAGAAGATATCATCCGATGTTGCGGTAAATCATTAGAACAAATCTCCTAAAAAAACATAGGGTTTATGTTATTCCAAGTATTAATTTGCAAAACTAAAAAGAATATCATAAAACGTACCGAAATATAGGTGGCAAATATAGCAGGCACAATGGGGATAACCCAGCCCAAATATAATGTGCTTCCTTTACAGAACAAAATTATAGCAGCATAGATGCACCCCTTGAAAACCAGTGTGAGAGCTATACTTGTAGTATTTAGTCTAGGAGCAAATAGATCCATAAATATAATGAGCATAAGATATATAGTAGATATATAAATTACGATAGATAGATTATTCTTGAAATAAAGAAAAAGCCAAGCTTGTATTAGGCTTAAAATCAAATCATAAAGAAGGCCGTTTGGAAAGATTCGTATTAATCTCCCTATTATATCCTCAACCCAAATCCCATGGTTTATCAAACTGATCAACAAATGTACACTCAAAGAACCAAAAATAACACTTGAAATTCCACACGATAAACCCAAAAAAGAAAAATTACCCACAAAAGGATATAATAAATAATAAGTTGTTTGGGAAGTAAACGTTATCGTTAATAAAGATAAGAGAGATAAAAATAATAATGCTCGTATTGGGGATTTCATTATGTAGTTTATGAAGTTGTATGAGATATAGGGAGAAATGAAGGCTTTTAATTTAAATAGGGAGAACTTGTAGGTTTTTAGTTTTAACATTGAACAAGGTCTCTTTTACAAGTAAAACATTAAATTAAAAATCTTATTGTTTTTACATTGAAGGAGATCTCTTTTACAACTAAAACATCAAACTAAATTCTTATTGTTTTTAAATTGGGGCTAGAGTTATTTCTATTCAACTCTTATGTTAATTTTCACAGCTGTCATGTTATAGTATTGACTATGTGAAAATTAAGTAATTACACGACTTAAGATAACATAATTTCTAAAAATTTCTACCATTTGAATTAATTACAAAAATCCTTTTTTTCCTTCTATCTCCACATAGATCACTCCACTCCACCTCTATCAAATACATTACAACTTTATTTGTGTACAATGTATCTGGTACAAATGTTATTGTTGAGAAATTATAACTCAATTATTTCAACCAAAATCATAATGAATCTGGTTTATAGTTATGTAACTGATACATAACTTATATATGTGATACATAGCTTATGTATTGTTTGCTATGTATCAGATGAAGGAGAAGTGTATCTGCGAGTTTTGAAAGATCTAAGATTATTGTAATTCAGAAAACTTTCGAGATAGAATATAATTAATGCCCAAATTACTGGGTTTATGTACTTTATACATACATATATAATGTAACTCAAATTATTGGATACAATCTAAATCTATTGTGTGGAAGAAAAGTAATCAGGGTCCAATTTAAAAGTAATCAAGACCCTATCTGTAAAATGAAAGCCCAGCCCATTTGCAGAAGAGACTCCGCCGACAAAGCATAAAGCTTCCCGCCATATACTTTCAATCTCCCTCCAACTCCAAATAAATTTAAAATTACATCACAGTAAAGGAAACAAAACCCTATCTTAGTTTTGAATCATCAATTTCTCAGAAAAAAATGTCGAAATCAAATCACCAAGAAGACCTGGATCTCCTTCTTTCACTTCCAGATAGGGTTTTGGAAACCCCTCCAGCTTCTCCTTCATCTCGTTTCCCAGGTAAATGTCCAAATCTTGTTTTTTTTTTTTTTTGGTCTTATTAAATTGACTTGAGAGCTAAGAAACTAAATCCATTCTTGATTTCTTTTCCACATAAAATAATGAATTAGTTTCTTGATTAATATATGTTACTAGTAATTAGTTTCTTGGATTATTTTTATGGGATTCCTGTGGGCTGTTTTGATTAGTTTCATGTTTGGGATTTATCACAACTTATGGATTGAAGAGATAAGAAATCTATTTGTTGTATAGGTAGATGTATGAATCTATAGGAGTATTATTTTTATGGGATTTCTGTGGGTTGTTCTATTTTACAGATTATTTGTCAGATGATGGATCGCCAAAGCGAATGGGGGTGGCAGATATGTCTGTGTTTAGGGATGCTGTTCAGGATTGTCTTGATTATGATACTGAAATTGCCAAGAAAGCTGCCAAATCAAACCATACAAAGGGGTCAACTGATGCCGAGGTTGAAAAGTTTTCGGGTTTGCGAATTAGGTATGTACTTTGACATAGGTTATGGATGGCCTTATTGGTGCATATCCAATGGGTTCTTGTTGCATAGATCATGATGCATTTTCCTGTCAAACTCATTATATTGTTGCAATTTGAATGTTGCTAGCATATTTTTGTTTCGATATTTTCTGTACTACTTCCAATTTTTCAAGATGTCAGTAAATTTAATTGCCTACGTTTCAAATTTTGATGAAAGGAAGTCCCAACTGAGAATGTACTATTTTGGCTCCTTAAAAAACTCATCAGATGCTTTTTGGCTTGCGGTTACTATTGATAGAAATGTCACATAGGTGCTTGTATGTTAGTTCCATTAATTTAAAATGGTGGCCAACTTAGATTGTTATTGGTGAAGTTGCATTGGTGTTTATGCTTTGATTAGATTGGTTTGAGATAGCTGGTTGCTTCAGTTCTAATGTTGTGCCAAGAAAATTACATATGAATGCTCTATTTAGATACTGAACATCCAACTAATATTTTACATTTCATCCTTTCACTCAGAAATCAAGTAGTTTCACCTGTTGAACTGAGCAACCATTTTGCTGATATTAGGTTCATACGGTTATCAGCAATAAGGTATGTTAAGATGCTGACTGAGTTACCTGAATAGTTTTGCTGGACTATATAATAATATGTTTTCCTATCTGGTAGGAATTCGCTTCTAGGCGACACCCTTTCTGGTTGTTGGGCAACTGTTGGTGTTTTAACCGAGAAGGGGCAACCAAGAACAAGTTCAACAGGGAAGACATATGCAATCTGGAAAGTTGGATCTTTGGATGAAAAAACTATTTCTCTTTTTGTTTTTGGTGATGCTTATCAGAAGAACTGCAATGAAAAGGCCGGTGCAGTTTTTGCGCTGTTTAATTGCAGCGTACGCAAGGACAACTCGGTATTGTTATCATGCCTATCAATAAGTTCATTTTCTTTAAGATTTATGGTGGGTTACTAATGCCTCTTCAATGCCCTTTATCCAGGAACATGGATTTTCATTGAGTGTTTATTCATCCAGTCACATTTTAAAGATAGGCACATCTGTGGATTATGGAGTTTGCAAGGGGAAAAGGAAGGATGGGATGGCTTGCACTGTAATCATTAATAAGTACGACCTCTGATTTTATATATTGTTATTCGTTACATGCATATAGTCGTGAATGAACTGAATACTTTCAGGCAAAGTACTAAAGAAATGGTTGTCAGATACAATAAGATGCTCATGAGATATGCATAAAATGCTCTTCCGTTTACTTGTGTATTCTCAATTTTGTGCTAAGTACACTGCTTCTCACCAATTACAAGGTGACCAGATGTCTCATGTTTGTTCTAGAGGCATGCTCTTGATTTGATATTTGGTTTGGGCAGTCTAAAGTAAAATTCTTCTTCCCTTTTATAAAAACACTTGGATTATCGCTTTGGAGGTTTCATGGCCTTGGGCAGTGAAAGTGATCTTGCCTGGTCCTTACATATGAGGTATCCATTGTTTACATACGAAGAATGAAGTACTGCTGCTCCTCACAATTCTCATTGAGATAGCATACATGTTGTTTGGTTTTGATTTGCTTTAACCATGATAATGTCCTCATCCAGTCATTAATGTGGCTTTTAATTCAGTTTGTTTTGATTTGGAACAGAGACAATATGAAATTTGTGTCTCAAATCTACATTGTAGTCCTCCTTCCCATGGCAAGAGTGGAAGAATCAAAAGCGTAATCTTGTAAACTAGCTAGCCATCCCTATATAGTAGCTACTGCAATTGCTTGGTCAAGTTGTGTACAAAAGTAATAGGCTTTCCCTTTACAAGAGTGATACGGAGATGCTTACATACTATAGTTGTTTATGCAGATTATCATAAACTATGGTTGCTTCTTACCCAATAATATTGAGCCTATGGAAACTCGTTTTTGTTGTTCTACTCCTTGTGATAAAACTTATGGATTGAGAACATCTGCAGGCGGCGTGGAACATATTGCAGCTACCATAAGCAGGTAACCTATTTTCTGCATACACTTGTATATTAAGTCTGCTTGGTTGCTTGCTCTGCCTTCTCCATGTGCTCTTTAACTGAAACTTGATTTACTAGCGAAAGAAAATAATGAACTGATTGTGTTTCTGTTACTTGTTCCTTCAGAAAACATCTGAGAAATACTCATCCAGCATGAGGGCTGAACTCAAAGGCGGGTGAGTGATTACCTTCTCAACCTCTCAATATTGCATTAGAATTGAAAACGTATTTCTTATTTCTTCTTCAGCTCTGTAATTGCTGTTGGTCTATCAAATTCAGGAACCTACGAACGGGTTTCAGAGATCATCTCAAGTCTGAAGGAATTTACGTCGTTAATCCTTTAGCTGACAAGACAAACTTCACAAAGTCTAAAGCACCATTGAAGTTACTGTCAGTAGATGGATTGAAAAGGGCATTAAGGTTTGTTCAAGTTACTTAATGCCATCGCTTTAATCTTGAAAAAATGTTGACTCGCATATTGCTTAATAGTCATTACTGACTCGATGATACTTATTCATGAACAGCAATGCAGGGAAAGTGACTACCAATGTACATTCTCAGGGAATAAGGTTTCTTAGTCAAGTTACAGGTTAAAACTTTAGTTCTTAGAACCTGTTCTAGTACTCCTAACATCTGTGACATTCTTAATTCTAGTTTTGCTCATTGCATTTCTATCTGTGTTACAGGAAAATTGAACTCAAACAATACCAAAGAATCTATTACTGGTCGAGATCAAACAAGAAATATGACAACAAACGAAAGGTGACAGAGATGGCATAAAGAAAAGTTGCACTTTTTGACCTTATATTATGTTGTCTGTTTGGTGACAGGGTAATCTACTTTTTTTTTTTCTTTTCAGGCCATCCTCCACCAAGAGAAAGAATCCAAGTGAAACAAGACCAAGTCACAGTTGTGATCAAAAGAAGCCAAAAATGGGGCAACAAAATTTAGGACAAAAACCTCAACAGGTTAAAGAAAAAATGATAGAACTAGACCTTGTCAGTTCAGATGATGAACTTTAGATTTATAATCATCTAATGTAATGTATTCCTATGCTCTTTAAGATAGTAAATTCTTAGCTTGTTGTACAAGTTTTTTTTAATTGAAACAAGAACTTTTAATCTTATTGTAGGTGACTTTAACTTTTATATATTTGACGTATAAAAGCCAAAACAGTGAAATCAGTAACATAGAAAACAAGGTTGATTGTTATAGATAGTGGTAGAGTTACAACTGAAGTTATAGGTTCAACAAAATTCAATAGTTAAAGCGTAAAACTTATATTTTTAATAAGAAATTTACTTGATATGCTTAAGATATTTTTATCTAGAATCTATATATTTCAAATTTTGAATCTGTCTTACAGATATTTGGAAGTGGTCCATACGATTGGTAGGTCATGCATGCACATGGGAGTTGATTTGTCTCGAGGCCATGTGCACCCAAAATTCCTGCCCTTGCCAAATATGTGTACGTTTTGCAACTAAGATAAAGTTTTTATTACTATAATATAGAATAATTAGGTGAGTGACTAAAAAGTCATAGATTCTTTTTCCTAAAAAAGAGTTAGTAGGCAACTGCACCTTGTCTTATTAGGATAGGGAATCATAATAATACAAAATATGATCATAATAAATCACCCGTTAGGTAATGGTGTTGACAGTGTTCTCCAATCTCTACTCAAGATCCTAGTGAATACACACAAAATTTTAAATTTAATCTTTGGCTTTTCTTTATAATGAGTGTTTAGGAAACCATAAGTGATGGTTTAATCATTTTAATTTGTTTAGACTTGAGGTTTACGACATAATTGTCCAACAACAACTACTTAGTTGTAGCACATTGTTACTGGCATTGATATATTATGGTAAAAGATAACGTTTTGTTTTACTATTATATTTTACTTGTAGTTTGATTCATTCTCTTAAACACAACACGTGATAGTGAGATTCGAATTCAAAACTTCTATTTACTCTAATATCATATTAAATTATATAAAACGTCTTATTTGAGTGGACCGGGATCGAGGATCTAATGCTGGCCTACTAAATAATATTTGTAGTGCATGCACGGATCAATGCTGTGGGTTCATTTTTGTAAACCCCCATATGCCATTTATCACTAGATTGTATTTATTAATTCATCGAGTAGAGATAAGTGGCCTCTCATTTTCACTCAATACCAACTTCTCATCTACCATGATTATTACATATTGTACCATTGTGTTCACAAGTCACTACCTTAATGGACACTCATGTTTTGGCACCATGCATCTAGACCAATAGTATAATATTCTTTTGTCACAAAATAAATGTTATCATAGGAATTCAAGACAAAGATAATATGTTATGATTTTTAATTATATTTTATACTCCATCTTTTTAATAATGTTCAATTTGTAAGAAACATTTATTAAATAGAGATTTATTGAAGTTTTAAAATACATAATTTTTGCTAAGCTGACCCTTCTTTTGAACAGAAAGGGTATTATATTAAAATTATTTGTTATAAAAGTCATTAATTAGGAGGAGTTTTTGGCCATTTTTACCTTTAGTTATATCTTAAGATATAATCTGATCTATTTATTGAATATACATACTCGATTAATTATGTGTCATCTTGTCATCTCCCTATAATTGAGACGTAGTGAGTGTTTTGGATAGACTTATTTTTAGTTATTTTGGCTTTTCATCTATTTTTTATTTTTAGTGAAAATATACAACAACAAAAAATAAATAGTCAAAACTCAAGAGTTGGGTATTCCCAACTTATTACTTTAACTTTTAACTTATATATGTCACTTAAAAAAGTCAATCAAAACATTCCAGTAGTCTTCAAATACAATTTTTTCTAAGAATAAAATAGAAAAAAATAATGATTTATCTTAAACTTGTAGAATGATATATTAATTTGATATATCTATTTTCAGAAAAACTGGGACAAATAATTTGAGACGTATGAGTAGAAAATTACGTACTTGAAAAGGAGTTGTCAATTTTCTTCATTTTTGCTTTGGAAAGAAGGCAAAGGTCAACCTCTTTCTAGTTTGTCGGGGTGATTATTTAATTTTTAATTCTCATTTATGATATAGTAGTATATATATAAAAAAATATATATAATTTTCCCCTGACTCCACGCAAAACTTTTGTGGCCTTCATTCAAATAATAAATATACAATGCTAACGACTTAAAATATTTTTGAGATGTTAATAGAGTTAGGTGCAGGCTTTCACATCAATACACCAAACGATCATCAACTGTTTTTATGTAAATATTATGTCGTTACGTTGGACCATTTTTAACATGCTAATAATTAAAATGTCATAAGTAACTTATAATGAAGGGTCATGTTTAAATGTGATGACATTATGATTAGTTGAGTTAAATACCCTTTTCGTCTGGTTTTACTTGTATTCTTAAGAAATGCTTAATAAATTTAATATTTTGGAAAATGACTTTATTTCTTAATTTTGTAAATTGAACAACAGAATAATAATAAAAAAAATTATTTTTAATATAGTGAATTAGTAAAAGTGAATGGATGAATATTAATTTATTGTTAAATAAAATCTTGTCAATCACACAAGCTAACTAACTTTTCCATCTAGCCAATCATCATAAGTTCAAATTGTACCCAAAAAAATCATCATAAGTTTAACTGAAATTGTTATTAATGAGAAATAGTAGGAAACTGTCGGAATGTACAACTTTAAAAGCTGCTGTATTTTTGTTTGTAAAATTTATGAAGTTTTGATTATTTGATTTGCTTAAAACTTATCCATATGAAGGTTGAATATTTATGCCGTCACGTTACAAAATATTAATGGGATATCCTGCATTAATTATTGCTAAATTTATTACTACTATTTTGCCCTTCACATAACCCATGTTTTAATATATGAAAAATTACATGTGCTAACCTTATTTTGAGAGGCTACTTTTACCTTTTGAGCGTTATTTTATTAGGAGAAAAATGCAGTCAATTTATTTTACATCTTGCTCAAAATTATATATATTGATATAGAAGTAAATTTTAAATTTCACTTTTAAATGAGCGAACAAAATTAATCCCTCTATCCTTCTTAATTTATGCAAAGGCGATGGAAATGAAGGAAAGCAGCCACTATTCTTTTTCTTTCTTCTTTCTTTTCCATTAGGAGAAGTGAGTTGGTTCATTTAGTCTCTCTATTTACGTAAATTTTTATTTTTATTGGTGATTATGTTGGGCTAAAGAAAACTACTGACTGAAAAAAGAGGAGTGACTGTTTACTGATGATTTTCAACACACAAATTTCGATTTAACTATTTTAAGAATAAAATAAAAGTGCAAAAAAGATTTTATACATAGATGTGATAACTCTATCAATGGAAAAAATTGTAGCTTCTTTGTATTGTTTTTTTTTAGAGGAACGAATCCCTCCGTCATTCACATTATATTCTTTCCTTCTTTAAAAAAGGAAATATTGGTCATATATATCAATTTACTAACTACAATTAATTACCCTCAAATCTGAATTAATCTATATATAATTTTCTGACAAAAATACTCTCTTACATACCAGGAAAAAAAAAATATATACACTGAAAATCGTCTACAAACCAATTGTGTGCAAAATTATTTGCTTAGAACAAGTGACAGAATTAGAAGTTTTACTAAAATAAAAATATAAAAGAACAAACACACAAAAAATTTAAATGATTCATCATGTATTTTCTTCAATAGAAATAAATCCTTTACGTTTGAGGCTCGATCAAGCCATTTCAATAGTACATCTAGGGGTGTTCGTGATTCAATTTGAATCGGTTATTGGTTAAATCAAATCAAAATCAAACCAATCTAGTTGTTTTTAAATTTTTTCAAACCAAACCAAATCAAACAAAAATAATAATCGTCGATTTGGTTCAATTTTTCAGATTTTTTTTAGTTTGAAAGTTATAATTTTTTTTAGGACATATGTAACTCGATAGACACAAACACCTAATACATGAGCAATCCACATGAAAACTATTGTCGGTTCAATTAAGCAATATTAGAGTTATTATTACACTCACAAAGTGATTCAATTAAGAGAAAATGTGACTATCTTATGTGAAGTAGGATAGGTAAAGATTAAAGTAATGAATATTGATGGACTTGGACTTAGGATTGTAAAAATTGGGCTAAAATTTAAGTGTTGGGCTTAAAAAAATGGTAAAGTTAAAGACTTAAATTAATTAAAATTTAACAAAATATTTATATTTTATTTATGAATAATATTTAAATAATTATAAAATTTATATATCTAATTTATCAGATCGATGTGGTTATTTTTGCGGTTGTTTTTAGTAAAACCAAAATCAAACCAAATAATATCGGGTTTCAAAATTTAAAACGAAATCTAACCAAACCAAACCAAATATCAATTTGATTTGGGTTACGATTTGATTTGATTTTTTTAACCATAATCATGAATGACCCTAAGTACATTTATACAAGCATAAACTTTAGTAGTTTTAACTAATTATAATTAACCTATCTTATCTTCGTACCAAATGAGTCTATATATTTAAATAGGGAATTATTTCAAATAAATTTTGGTTTGAAAAAATAGAAAAATAAAACTAATTGCCAAAAAAAAAGAAAGGGATGTTTGGTTATGTGGCAATACAAGATAGGTTGATATAAGTGGCATCACAAAGCGAAGAATAGCTGGCTCGAAGCTGTCTTTTTTTATTTACACAAAAAAATCTTGAGCCTTTTCTTCATTTTCCATTTCTGCTATCTTTCTCTGCTCATATCCATTAAACTTTTCCCCCTTTACTCCATTCATCATTTGTATGTGATAAAGGTGGGTGTTTTAATTTCAATGAATGTGGCTGTTGAGTTAGGTGTTGTGTTGTTTTCATCATTCTATCCTTATAGGGTTTACATTAACAATTTAGGGGTTTTGGGTTCTTGAAATTGCTACTATTTTAAGTTTAACTGACTGTATTCTTCTAACTAACAACTTTTGGGTTGAAGAGTAGGTGGAGGAAAGAGTACAGATAGAGAAAGATTTTGGGCAAATAAAAGAA